GACCCTGGGAGATGGGGCAGCCTTTGGCGGTACCAGCCCAGAGAAGGGCTTCTCCCTGGGCTTTGAGGCATTTGTTGCAGGAGAGTCCCGGGTTCCTGAGCTCTGACTGAAAACCCGTGAGTCGCCTGAGCAGAGGCCGAGAGCAGCCACAGAGAGGATGGGCCGAAGGCAGAGGAGGAGCACGGGCTGCTCTGAGCCACAGAGGGCTCCGGAGAGTGCCCCAGCCCTGCCCTGTGCCCACACCGCCCCTCCCGCCGCACAGGGGCACGTCTCACCCCTAATACTGTTACAAAAAAAACGAAAGCTAACAAAAAAACCTCGCCCGTGCCATGCCAGACCCACACACTGCGGTGCCTGAACGGGGAGTTGAGGGGATGGTGACCCCCACAGGAACCGCTCGGAGCAAGAGGAGAGAAAAGGCCACTCGAAGACTCGCCTTAGACAGCTCCAATCTCAGCTCCGAGGGCAGCAGGGAGAGATGGGGCAACCCCAGCCGGAGAGGACACGGTGCGAGGAGACGGCGAGAGGCGGGGGCCAGGGATGCAGCGGGAGGTGCGGTGGGGTGCCATGGCTTCCATTTGCAGCAGACGGGTCACGGGGGAAAGATCAGCGGCTGTGACCTCGGCGTCCTTCCCTGCAACAGTCTCGATTGGCTCCACTTAGATCCGGGGCAGCAGCTTCTCAATGAACTCCTTCACCGCCATCATCTCCTGCAGAGAGCACAGAGCCCGTCACTCCGGGGCTCCTCACGGGCCGTGCGTTGTGCCAAGCGTGGAGGCACGAGGGCTGCGCAGCCCCCCCGGAGTGAATCAGGGAATAAACACATCCCGTGTGTTTCAGTCTCAGCAAATTCCCTGCCCTGCCTGACCCACCATGCTGGGGTCAGTCCCAAAAGCGAGACCAGCCGCTGACAGCCCCGTCCCCTCTCTCCGCCCTGAGGCACTGACCTGAGGACAGGAACTGTGCATCACGCCAGGGTAGGTTTTGAACTGGACCTTGGTGGGAGTGACGACAGATTTCAGCTTCTCAGCAGTGAGGGCCCCGAAGCGGACGGGGATCATGGGGTCCATCTCCCCATGGCACTGCAGGATGGCGATGTCCTTGTTCACGCCGTTATTTGCCGCCTGCAGCGAGGAAGGAAGCGCTCAGGGGTGCCCAGGAGAGAGGATCCCCAGTGGGGAACGGGGCGGGTGCTTTATCTGCATCCCCACACACATCGCCTGGCAGCTCCCCTGCTCAGGAGGGACACGGGAGAGCAGCTCACTGCTGCCCTGCCACCAAACGCCTCCTCCCACGCTGCCCCCAGGACCGAGCTGCTGCCCCGTGGGCATGAAGAGGCTTGGGGAGCAGATCGACTGGCAGATGCCCACACCAGATCAGAGGCAGAGCCTTGATTTCTCCTTTGCCCTCACCTGCCCCAGGAGCAGGGGGCGTGGGATTAAGCCCCCACCACAGGCACCCTGTGCCTCCAGCAGCCCCAGGCTCACACTGCAGCAAACTCCCGATGGGAAAATCCCCCCCGCACCGACCCTCCCTGTGGACGCGCGGGGCGGCAGCAGCGCAGGGTACCTGTGGGAAGGCCTTGTGCAGCGGGAGCCAGCAGCTGAGCGCCACGATGCCGGCCAGTTGGTGCTGGCAGGTAAGAGCCGTGTACAGCGACAAGGCACCGCCCTGCAGCAGATGAGGAAGGTCTGTCAGTGCCATGGGGGAATCCACAGCCCTGGAGCACCCCCCTGTCAGGGACACTCCCTTTGAGGGGTGTCTTTGGAGGAGGAAGAGGGAACCCAACCCTCAGTCTGCTCCGCCTCAGCTCTGCTCACCTGCGAGAAGCCCCCCAGGATGATGCGGTTGGGTGGGATCCCGTTCTTCATCTCATGCTCGATAATTGCTTTAACTGGAAGAAGACAGAGAAATGGATCAGTGAAAGGTGGGGGAGCTGAAGGGCAGCATCTGAGGCCTGGGGGTGCACGCAGGACACTCAGCACGTCAGGGAGAGGCAGGAGCCAGAGGTCCCAGGAACCGAACGCCCTTGGCTTCAGCCAGGGAGAGAAGGTGGGCTGGGATCACAGGAGAGCAGAAAGGAAGGAGAGGTGGAAGGAAGACATCTGCTCCTGTCCCAGTGAGGGAGAGGCGCCCAGGAGCTCAGCGCTTCCCTCTCCCCAAAGCTTCTTACTGTTTTCTGCGGCTTTCTTGATCCCAGCTTCATCCTCAGGTGCATCCGGAGTCAATCCCATCAGGTCAAACCTGGGAGAAGAAGCAGGGTCAGCCCCAAACCCAGGGTGTGGGGAGGTGGGAGCTGGATGTGCTCTGCCCTTCCCCCGACTCCTACAGGGCAGTGGATTTTGGCTCTTCTTCCCCCCATCCCTCTCACTCCCTCAAAGGGGTCCCACCCACCCCTGCCACCCAAAGCACTGACCAGGAGGGCATAACCATCTTCATGTTGAGGGTCACTGGGATCCGGGGCCTGCAGAGAAAACAGTTTGGGTGTTTTAGTTCAATGCAAGAGAAGAAAATCCGAGCCAAAGGGAGCGGAGTGACCGTCCCTCCCGCCCACAGCTGCAGGACACCTCTCCCAAGGGACAGCAGTAGGTTGGTGCCACCAGACCCAGCCTGGGAGCTGCAAGGTGACCCCAGGGATCACCCGTGAGCTCCGAGCAGATCCCGGCTGAGCTGGCAGCTCCAGGGCGTTGCCAAGTGGCCCGCCTGGGGAGAAGAGCACCCGCGTCCCTCTCCTGTTTGCTGCTGCCAAGCCAGGAGATGCTGATGGAGCGGCTGCCTCTGCTGCCGAGACGGACATGGGGAAGCCGAGGCCCTGCTCCCGGGGACACCCCTGCGGCGGAGCTCTGCCAGCCTGGTGAGTGCCCCCCTGCATGGACTGCTATCGGCGCCAGGGATGCACCGGGGAGTGTTCCCTTCCCTTTCTGCTGAGCCCCCTCCTGCCTGACCCGGGGGGACAGGGAAGGAGCTCCAGTGCTTTTGGCTTCCACTGCAGCCATCGGGGAGAGGCAGAGGACAGGACAGGGGAGAAAAGAGACTCAGAGCAGCAGCTCCTGCACTTCTCAGCTCTGTGGGGAACCACTCTGCCTTGCAGGCAGAAAATGTCAGGGCTGGGGCCCTGAACGAAGCAGCCACAGCAGGACAGCAAGCCTGGCTGCACAGCCCCGCAGGTAGGTCAGGGCACAGGCCACCGTCTGCCTCCCCGAACAGCCTCGCAGCGGGCACCAGCGTCACAGCCCACCCAGGCCCCCCGAAGCCCTTCCCGAAGCAAGGACAGCACTTACGCGTGAGGGCAAATATATTTCACGTAGGGGAGGCGGATGGAGGAGAGAGCATCAGCCCAGCTGTGCCTGGGGAGAGAGGAGAGGAGAGGAGAGGAGGGAGTTCACAGCTTGCCTTAGCATTTTGGAGGATGCCGGCGAAGGTGAGATATTCATCCCCCCAAGGACAGGTTTTCTCCAAGGCTTCTGTCTCCCTGCCCCTGCTCCAACGTTATTTTACCAGGTCCCACCCACCCCAGCAGCCTGAATCCCCGGCACAGATCTCCTCTGCGGCAGGGCAAAGGCAGCACACAAAGCCCTGCAGCTGGGAGGCAGAGGAGCTGCTATCAGCAAGGGAGGAGGAAGAATCTCCTGTGCAGGGAGAAGCCTTTTGTTACGGCTGTATCTCGCCCTGTCCTCTAAGGTGGCCTTGCATGTTAGAGAGATGTGCTCGCACAGATACAACCCAACTCCCAAGGACTGGAAAAACCGCAGTGCTTATCTGCTTGCCTTAAAGAAAGCAGAAAATCAAACCCGCAGGAGGCGGGGGGCTGCCAGGCTGCCGGGATCATAAATATTCAAGTGCAGACAGCTGCTGGCTGGCGATTCCCTGTGAGGGTGACGCAGGCACGGCTCTCGGACCGAGCTCAAAGCCCCAGACAAATCTCAGAGCTTCCCCTGGGGAGAGCAGCACCGGCGCTCACAGCAAACGCCCGGGCCCGGGCCCACGTTCAGCAAACCACGCATCACAGCCAGAGCCAGCTCCAGGAATACTCACCCCGTGTCTCCAAGGCCATGTAAAAAAATGACCTGTTAATTTAAGCAGAAAAACAAAAGGAATTAGCTGGTGCGACAGCCGGTGCCCTGGGAGAGAGGCAGGGCTGGGCTCGCAGGGAAGGGACAAAAGGCCACTTAGTGACTAACGAGAGGAGACTCAAACAGGCAGAAATTAGCCGATGCTAATGACACGACTCTGCAGCTTTGAGCATGACGGATGGGTGGAAGAGGCACATCATCGTCATCGTGCCACGGAGCCTGCTGCCACGGCCAGGTTCGTGGGCGTCGTCAGCCCCTTGGCTGCCCAACACAGGAGAGGGCCAGGGAGCGAGGGGTCGTCCCGCCAGGCTGCACGGCACCACGCTGAGCACAGGCCGAGCTTGCCATGGACTCACAAAACCCATCTCGACAGGCTTTTCATCTAGGGCTTGAGCAGCCCCTAAGCAACAGGGAGCAGAGGGAGGGCAGCCCGTGGGGCCCCAGGGAAGGACAGAGGATTTTCTTTGGGGGATTTGCTTTCAAAAGCTTAAATAGCCAAACCAGAGCCAACTCCCACTGACTTCCCTGCGGGTCAAGCTTAGCTGTGAGGCTGTCGCTGTGCTTCTGCACTGGCCCAAGCACCAGTAACAAACAGCCCAGCCCAAAGGACAGCTACTTTTCCCCAGCAAGACAAGAACTCGCTGGTCCTGCCTCCCCTTTTGATGCACCCCGATGTACATCTGAAGAGCTGAGGCATTACGGGCTCAGCTCCTGGCCCCTCTCAACCCCACGGAAGCAGCTCCTCATCGTCAAGACAGCTAAAAGGGAAGAGGCAGGAGGGGTCCGGCCCTTACCGCGGCAGTCTCCCGCTCTGCCCCTGAGACAGTCACTGCATCAGCGAGGAGGGGGACAGACATGTTGTTACCACACATACACCGAGAGGGACTCAGACACTGGCACCTGCGGGACAGAGGGACAAAGGTAAGGTAGGAAAAGACTCCCCTTCTTCACCCCCGCCGCAACAATTTGCTCCAGAGGGACCAGGTATTTGGGGGAAAATTAAAGAGTACATGAAGGCTTTGATGTTTAAGCCCTTGGGACAGCCCTGCTCCATCCCTGGCCTGGCAACACCAGAGAGCCAGGAAGCAGAAAACGCTTCCCACGTCGCAGCACCAGATGCGTGCGAGTGGGGCTGCGCGCGTGGGGTGTTGGAAGCATTAAAATTAGCTCTTTCTGTTACACCTCAAAGCCAAAGTTATTTCTGTGACTGTAACGACGTGGGCAGAGGGCAGCCGGGCAGCACACAGCCTCAGCATCCCTTCCCGGCTGCCAGCGGAGCTGAGGAGCCTGACCCACATCTGCTCCGACAGGGAAGCAGGCAACACCGGCCTGTGGCACGCAGCAGGCAGCAGCACAGGCTTTACAGCACTAATAAAAGGTCCAGCCCTTTTTTATGGAGCCGGTTGGGGATAAACAAGAGCGTTTGGGCACTGGCCTGATGCCCAGCCCCATGCTCACTCCCAGAGCCTGCGCCCCCCCAGCGATGGCTTCCCTGTCCCTCCCCGCCAGGCAGCCGGCCAGGGCCACCGCCACTGTCCCCACCGCAACGGTCTCCTGCCAGTGCGAAGGGCTGCTTGTCACCTCCCGGATCCCAGTCACCTGCGGGGCCGATGTCCCTCCCTCCCAGGCAGCCGGCCAGGGCCACCGCCACTGTCCCCACCGCAACGGTCTCCTGCCAGTGCGAAGGGCTGCTTGTCACCTCCCGGATCCCAGTCACCTGCGGGGCCGATGGCTCCGGCGGAGCTAACAGCCCCCACAACACCGCCTTCAGACGCGACAGTCGAGGGCGTTTGTTCCCAATCCGGCGCAAATCACTAAAACTGCCGCACCTCACGCGACAGGCCCTAACCCCCTCTTACCGCCCAGGGCTAATTAGATCAGAGCCCATTTACAGCGCTGCCATCATCTCCCGGGAGCAAGATCAGCCTCCCGGCAACTGCCAGGAGCAAGAGCAGACCCCACCGGCTGCCCGAGTCTTCACGTCTCGCAGCCAGCACCATCCCCAGAGGGTTCCGGATGGCAAGGGACCACCCAAACCCCCCTCCCCACCCCAAAACTCCCAGTACCCCAGCAGCCAGCCTTACCCAACAGAAACAGCCGCCTCCTCTACCAGCCTGGGCCAAGACCTGCCCGACTCGTTTCACCAACTGTTCGTCAGCTCTTTCCCCGACTCAAATATAAAACACCGGGAACAACAAGCTCCTCGGGTCTGGCGAACCTCACAGACACACAGCCCACGTGCTCGTGTGTACTCCAGGGTCAAAACAACCAGCGAGGAAAAACAGCACCTGCCAAAAATCCTGGCAAGAAGAGCCATAAATAAAAGCATCTTCCATGACAGATGGAGACGCTGAAACGTGCTCCCTGAGCAGACACAGACTCACGCCTTTGCCTTATTCACAGAGGTTTCGGGGAAAGGAGGGGGCTTGAGGGTTAAGGCTGGCCGGGGCACCCCCCGGGCCACCCCAAAATCCCCGTGGGTGTCTCTGCCCCGCTCCCGGGGTAGCTCCAGGAGGCTCCGCGGCTGGCGCCCCACAGCTGGGGCCGCCCACGGGGC